CCGTCTTGTAAGCTTCCTCTGCGGGGAGCATCCTGGCGGTGGAACGGTCCGAACAGCATACGGTTGTTCTCGGGGCTGCTTGTGACCCCCGGGGAAGGGCAGGTGCGCCCCCCAGGGAAAGGTTGAGAAGCTGGAACTGCAGGAGGTGTGGTGAGCTGTGAGCGGGATGAGGGATAAAAGGAGGGCCCCGCTGCTGGCCCCCCCCCCCCCCCCCCGCTTTCTACAGTGCTCTTTCTGTTTCTCCCAGCAGACCCTCCAAGGGCAGGGGTTATAACCTTGGTCTTTACCCACCCAAGGTCACGGGGCTGCCATGAGCCCCGTGTGCGCAGTATGACTCGGTTTCCCAGCCGCCCACTGCCGTGGCCCCCAAAGTGAGGCCCTAGGCGCATGCATTGAGGGTGAGTCTCAAACTCTGTCCTTTTTCTTTTTAACTTTTACGATGGCAGATTCCAAACAGACACAAAAATGGAGAAAGTGCATAAACGCATCCCCAGCTCTGACAACTCCAGGCGGGGACTCTCTTGTTTCCGCTCACCACCCCCGTGCCCTACCGTCCCCCGCAGCGGACAAGGCTTGTGCAAGTCCCGGGCACGTCGTTCTATCCGTAAAAATCCCAGTATGTTACTCTAATAGCAACTGCAATACCGTGATCGCACCCAGAAAATGATACGGAATGTCATCAAATATCCAACAGGGTTCACGTAATCTCAGTGGTCCCTTAGGTTTTGGTTTTGCTTTTTTCTATAACAGTTGCCCTACTAAACAAAACCCACGTGTTGCATTTGGTGATGTCTCTTACCTTTCTTTTAATCTGTGGTTTTCCCATTACTTTTTCCCCCGAAACGCATTTGTTGAAGAGACTGGGTGGTTTGTCCCGTCGAGATTCCCACAGTCTGGAGTTTGTGGATTGCATCCTCAAGGGCTGTGTTTAACGTGGTCCCCTGTCCCCTGTAATTCCCCAAAACGGTAGTTACACACACAAGCCTGGTTGGATGCGTGTTTAGTTTTTGCCAGGAACACTTTGTGGATGGCTCTGTTCTTCTATCAGGCAGCGCCTCCCCGCTTTGGGGCTGCCCCTGCCCTGGTAAGGTCCCCGCTTTGGGGCAGGGTCAGGAAGGGAGGCGCGTCGGGGCTCAGGAGAGGGTCTTGCATGCGGGAGGTGCGCCGTGACTCGCGGCCCCCGTCACTGACCGTGTGGGGCAGAGTCTCTGGCCCGTTTGACTCGGGGGCACCAAGCACCTCTGTGAGGTGCTTCACCTGTGCTGTCTCATTAGTTATGCCCCCTTTGCAGGGGAGAAAACTGCGTTGCAGGGGAGGTGATTTGCCCACAGGTAAAGGAGTCGCTTAGGAAGAGAAAAGTGGAGCTGGGCTTCAAACCCAGGTATTTCAGCGTCTGAACCTGTCCTCTGTGCTCCACCAGCACCCTGGGAGCTAAGGCGTGTGTGCACGTGCCTGTGTTCACACTCAAGTGCGTGCAGCTGGAGCAGTGGGCAGGTTGGCCAGGACCCCTGAGGGGAGCCCCGAAGTGGGGGTGAACAAGGCAGGGAAGGGGACTTTGTAAAAACAGACAGATGTGAACCAGAGAGATTGGTCGAGTGAAGCGCAACCCCCCCCCATCCCCCCCTCCAGCCGTGCTGGGGGCAGGTGGTATCGGGATGGAATCCCCCCCCTCCTCACCTCTCCAACCTACCTGGGCCCCAACCCCAGCACCTGGACCTTCAAGGTTGGAGACGTGCTGGGAGCAGGTGGAATCCCCCAACCCCCTTGAGTCACTTGGCCTGCACGGGCCCCTCTCCAGCTGTAAAATGGGCTTGAGCTCGCTTTCCAGGCCCCTCCCTGGGAGAAGGAGATAAAGAGAGCAGAGAGATAAGTGAGGGCAGGCCCCTGCTGGATTAGCCCGGAATTCCCAGCAGCGCCTGGAGAGCGTGGCCCCAGGGGAAGGAGTGGGAAGAGGAGTTGCTAGTCAGAGGGCAGGGGCCAGTGAGCAGGTCACCCTTCTGTTGCTCTTTGAGGCCCTCCTTCCTCTAAATGCGCAACACCCACCTCTCCCCTCCCTGGTGGCAGAGCCCAGAAGCTTCCTAAACAGCCTCCTAGGGATCTCCACCCCAAACTAAATCTACCCATCTTGCTTTATTTATTTTTAACTTAAAAAAATTTTTAAATTTATTTAGAGAGAGAGCGCACGCAAGCGTGCATGCGCGCAGGGGAGGGGCAAGGGGGGGGCGGAGAGACTCTAGCAGACTCTGTTCAGTCAGTGCACAGAGCCCCATGTGGGGCTCCAACTCACGAAACCGTCAGATCGGAACCTGAGCTGAAAGTAAGAGTCGGGCACTTAACCGAATGAGCCACCCGGGAGCCCCTAAGTTTTTTAAAATGTATGTTTGTTTGTTTATTTCTGAGAGAGGGAGACAGAGAATCCCAAGCAGGCTTCATGCTGTCAGCACAGAGCCAGATGCGAGGCTCAAACCCACGAACCATGAGATCATGACCTGAGCTGAAATAGAGTCGGATGCCTAACCGACTCAGCCACCCAGGTGCCCCAGTTCGGCACAGCTGTAATCGACGTTTCCATAAATAAGCTTGTATTGACAGAGACCCACGTCCCTCCCCCTGATTGCTTCCTTCGGGTGAATTCCTACTAGTGTATCACTGAATCAAAGAGCATGAGCATTTTTTTTTTTTTAATACCCTTCATAGAAACTGCCGGATGGTTTTCTGCCAGTCCTTGTCGAGGCCTTGCTTCAGGGTTGGACGGTGTTCAAGCTGCCGTGTGGGTGGGGCATGCCGGGGGCCCCACTATCCGTGGATAGCTGAGGCTTGGCACACAGTGGGTACACACGATACGCTTACGGAATGTGCAGTCTGGCCTTCCCTCTCCTCTTACAAATAGAGAAAGCGAGGCCCGGCGGTGGGAGACCGGTTCTGGGGAGGTCGGTAGCATTGCCAGGGCTGACAGGTGACAGTGCAGCAACGGCCCCCGCAAGGACAGGGCTTGTCCCCACACACCACACACCACACACACACCACACCACACCACACACACACACACACAGCACTGAGGACTTTACGCACGGGTGTACCGAAGGCACAGTTACCATTCCAGGACTCAGGAGCACAGAGCCAGGCGCAGGCAGCGGCTGAGGGCTGTGCATGACTTCCCCGCTGCGATGCTTCCCGAAGCAGAAACAGGCTCAGAGAGGTTTAGCAATTTGTCCCAGGCCACAGAGCTAGCCTTAACTGGAATTCGTGGGAGGCAGGTCTGACACCAGGGCCTCTCGACCACGTCTCAACGCCCACACAACGCTGGCACTGCACCAGCGCACGCGCCCACGCAGGGCGCCTAACCGCGGGCCCACGGCACGCACAGCACGTGCACTCCGGGCCACGCTTAGGGCAGGCTCGCGAGGGCGCGCGCGCGCACACACATACACACGCCCCCGGCATCGCCGGCCCC